TGTGCTGTTTCGTTGTTTAATGTCCGAGTTTCTTGTGGAATGTGTTGTGTCTTGTTTCTGGCCTGCCTGCCTGTTTTTCCTCAGGGTGGTTTTTTTTTGTTTTGTTCTGTTTTATCATTAATAAAGAGCCCAGACTTACTGCATTTGATTCCTCGCCTCATCTCTCCAGTTCCCTGACAGAACGAAAATGCCACATGAGGACTCAGCAGAGAATGGGCTCACTCCAGCTACCAGCCTCCACTACCAGCAGCCCCCTCTACCAACGCGTGCTCCAAGTAGCAGCATTAAGTTCCCTCCGTCAACGGGGGACTGACCTTAGGGAATTCACCATGGAGTTCAGGAGTGCTGCTGAGGGATTGGACTACAACGATGTGGCTCTCAAGGACCTTGATGAGCCCATCAGCACCTGGAGGAGGTTCGGCACAGAGCACCTGGCTTTTGGGACGTTTGTGGACTTTCTAGCCCACAGGGAGAGACGATCAGTTCTGGAGCAAGAGGTACCTTCTCATGTGGTGCCTCTTCATAACATGGCCGCCACTCCAGAGTCTTGTTCCTTCATGGCCGCCACGCCAGAGTCTCTTCTCTTCATGGCTGCCTTTCCAGAGCCTCTTCACAAGATGGCTGCCAGTCTGGAACCTCTTCACAAGGAGAGATCAAGGCGTTTTTGGACTAGTTTCCAGTTTGGCGGACCCACCTCTATTGTCAGTGCGAGCAGCTGTCATCACTGTGGTGGTCCCTAGTCTGGTGGTCCTGGAGGAACCGAGTCCGGTGGTCCCTAGTCTGGTGACCCTGGAGGACCCGACTCAGGTGGTCCTATGTTCGGTGGTTTCTGAGGTCACTGAGCAGCCCACTCTCCTGGTCTCGGCCATGGAGCCGCTACAGAGCTGCCCGATTTCACTGCTGCCGCTACGAAGGCCATCACTAAGCAGCCCGCTCTCCTTGTCTCGGCCATGGAGGCCGCTACAGAGCCGCCCGATTTCAGTGCTGCTGCCATCGTCAAGAAGGCTGTTTTTGCCTTTCACCTCAGGGCTGTCCTGCGGGCATGAGCCGCTTCTGAGTTTGCTCTGGCTTCCCAGGAGCCTTCAGAGTCCACTCCACAGCCTGCTCCAGTCCAGGAGCTCTCGGAGTCCACTCAAGAACCTGCTCCAGTCCAGGAGCCTCCAGAGTACATTCCAGAGCCTGCTCCAGTCCAGGAGCTCTTGGAGTCCACTCAAGAATCTGCTCTAGTCCGGGAGCCTTCAGAGTCCACTCAAGAATCCACTCCAGTTCACGAGTCTGCTCCAGAGCCTACTCCGGCCCGTGGATCTGCTCAGTCGTGGTGGTCAGGAGCTCTGCCTGCGCTGCCGTGGTGGTCTGCAGCGCCACCGTGGTGGTCTTCAGCCCCACCTGCACCAATGTGGTGGTCTCCAGCTCCTGTCACGGTTCTGCTGGTGTGCCCTAGTTGGCCACCAGATGTCACTGTGTGTTTGTTTAAGCACATGGCTTGTTGTGTGTTTGTTGGTGCCATGTGCTCTCCTGTCTATTGTCTTACCCCACCCATCTTATCTCATTATTGTTTTAGTTACTTCATCTGTGTCTCCCTCGTTACCCTTCTCGTTTGTCTCCCTATTTATTCGACTTGTGTCTGCAGTCCTGTGCTGTTTTATTGTTTAATGTCCGAGTTTCTTGTGGAATGTGTTGTGTCTTGTTTCTGGCCTGCCTGCCTGTTTTTCCCCCTCAGGGTGTTTTTTTTTTGTTTTGTTTTGTTTTATCATTAATAAAGAGCCCAGACTTACTGCATTTGATTCCTCGCCTCATCTCTCCAGTTCCCTGACAGAACGAAAATGCCACATGAGGACTCAGCAGAGAATGGGCTCACTCCAGCTACCAGCCTCCACTACCAGCAGCCCCCTCTACCAACGCGTGCTCCAAGTAGCAGCATTAAGTTCCCTCCGTCAACGGGGGACTGACCTTAGGGAATTCACCATGGAGTTCAGGAGTGCTGCTGAGGGATTGGACTACAACGATGCGGCTCTCAAGGACCTTGATGAGCCCATCAGCACCTGGAGGAGGTTCGGCACAGAGCCTGCCTGCCTGTTTTTCCCCCTCGGGTGTTTTTTTTTTAGTTTTGTTTTGTTTTTATCATTAATAAAGAGCCCAGATTTCCTGCATTTGAGTCCTCGCCTCATCTCTCTCCAGTTCCCTGACAGAAATTCTCTCTATCGCCTTTTGTACAGTTTTGTTGTTGTTGTTTGAAACTGATTTAAAGTGTCAGTTTTTCCATTATTATTTCAGTCAAACCTATAAAACCCTTTGTTACCCCAAACTACATAAAAAATCTTGATCAGTCACATAAAAGTAATCAGAATGCAGCTACTTATTCCCTCGTTAGTCTTTGACGCGTGAACTTCCCCTTTTAATAAAGCGATGCTCTGCCCTCTGTTTATGATCAAAGACTATAGAATAACCTAAGACATGTCACTCATATAGTTTTGAATGGGGGAAAATGCAACACTCAATATGGCCGCTCTATTGAACGAAGCCCCGCCAATAAAACAGTCAGCATTCAGAGATGTGCACTTAGGACTGCGCATGTGCACTGCCTGGTCTAGCCTGAAAAATATGCTTTTTTTTAATGCTATTTGAGCAAAAGAAACAACACTTTATGAGACAGTTGTTGTCAGATTTCAAATATGAAATTTAATTATAAGCTTGGCAAACAGTTTTGGAGAGTTTGATGTTTCCCCATTCAAAGAGATGGGAGCTGCACTTGCATGCCCGAAAGTCATTTCAAAGTTGGCCGCCGAGTGACATCCCTCTAAAAGAGACTTTGGTATGATGCTGCTCCTATTAAGCACTGTTAGAACTTAATGAATTGATTCAGCATTTCGACACTTCCTTAAGGATGCGTTAAATTCAACAAAGCGGTTTAATAAAGGATGTACTGTATTGATCTTGTGAATTGGAGAATTTTACTATACCAATTTTTTTTTAAATTGACAGTTAAAGTTTTATATGGGAATATTACACAACACACTGATCTTTTAACAATGCATTGGCACAAAAACACATACCTTTTGGACCAATTTTGCAGCATGAGTTCTCGACTGCCACAAGTACTGCCTTTACAAAAGTACTCATTTTGTGCACTTTTTACTGTACCAATATTTTAAATTGGCCTTTGAACTTAGCTTTATTGCATGGCAAAAAAAGAAAGAAAAAAAAAGCACTGACAGAACCCATTGATCTAACGGTGTTATTGAGCGCTCCAAATGCAAACTTTGCATGCAACAATGGCATACAGGCATCGTCAGATTGACAGTACTCTAGCCAAATGATGTTGGGGGATCCAATGGGGGCAGCAATCATATTTCAGGTTGGCCGTGCCACTCTTTATCACAACCCTGCTAAAATGTAGTGCATGAGCATGTTGATCTGCCAGTCTTGGGTCTTTTAATGCGGAGAACTTTGTTTTCTTATCTTAGCTTATCATTTAATGAATTGCCAGCCTATCAGCTAATCTTATAATTTAATACTCATTCATTTTGAGTTGATCTATTTTGAAAAAATCCTCCATGGGCTACAAATATAAAATCTTGCTGAATAGTTAAATCCAGACACAGCCGAAGTCAAACACACCCATGTGCTGTCAGTTTAAAAGTCTGCATAAACCGTAAGTTGCAACCAACTTTATCAGAGCCTGGACAATCCCCCAAGGTTGGTTAGCAGAAAAATGTCATAATGCTGCAGCATGCTGGGGAAGACACCAGGCTTCACTATGCTAAATAAACTGCTTTTGCGAGAACAGCTTATCACTTAGGGCGTACTCACACTAGGCACGGTTGCCTAGTATATACTCAAATTAATTGAAAAGTGTACTGTCTGAGTAATAGAAGATGTTTGTTGTTGTAATGATGACAGTAGCGCAAACAAAAGTAGTAGCTGCCTGTTCCGTGCTCCGGCACAGTTAGCGATCACACATGTGTACCGCACCCGAGCCTAATCAAATTGTGCCCGAGCCCACCTCTTCAAGCAGGCCAGGGCATGGTTCAGCCAACTGCGCTTGGGCATTGTACAGAGAGATCACACTAGTCAATGAACCAGACTTCAGGGGTCAGACGTGCTCGGGCATGGTTGTTGCCTAGTGTGAGTAAACCCTCAATGAATATCTAGAAAAGTTCCTTGTGTGAGCTAGCACACTTGGCAATACAACTCTTTCTGATTCTGATTAAATTTCCCCTCTAAAACATGTTTTCCATTATTTTTTTAGTTTAATAAAGACAATTCCATCCATCCGTCCATTTATTTATTTATTTAAAATAGTTAGCAATCACCTCTCCCATACTCTCGGAATATTCACATATAATTTTTGTACTTAAAACATGATAAAAGTTTTGGTCCCACTTTATATTAGGTGGCCTTAACTACTATATACTTACATTTAAATTAATAATTTGATACAATGCACTTATTGTGTACATACATGTTTTTACATTGTACTTATATTTAAAAAAATACCTATTAGTAGTTACATCAGTAATTAATTTCTGTAATTATATTTATAATTACACTGTTGACCCATCCCTAACACCTTAACCCACCCTTAAACCTACCCTTACCACCAAACCTGTCCCTAACCATACCCATATCCCACCTCAATAGACGCAAAAGTGTTTTGCAATACAATTTTTTATGTAAGTACATAGTAGTTAAGGCCACCTAATATAAAGTGTGACCAAAGTTTTTTTTTTCTTTTTAAAGCCTACATTCAATTCAATTCAATTCAAGTTTATTTGTACAGCGCTTTTCATGATACAAATCATTGCAAAGCGACTTTACAGCAAATTAAGTATACATATAGGTATTGCACTCCCAGAAGAGCTGAAAGTTTGTTCTGTTCTAGAATCTAAAAACGGATTAAAAGGTGACATTAAAATGATGACGGAATTTTCATTTTTTTGTTTGGACTATCCCTTTGGGTGTATTATATTACATATTGATCATGCGTCTGTCTTCTACAGATGTGACCAGTGTCATGGAATATAATGAAAGACTTGCTCGTTTTCGTCAGGGTCATGTCAACCCGTTTGACAGGAGACAGATCGACAGCACCACTGAGCGGAAGGATTCTCCAAAACATGGTGTGTCAACTTTTATTAAATATATAAATATGTACTAATCCTCTCCTGAAGGTACAGGACAGGCCAATAAATATGTTTTTTTTTTTTTTTTACAGGGAAAAATATTTCTTATGAATGAGATAATTTGTAAATCACATGATGTAAAGTTGTAAATTGAAATATATGCATGGCTAAAGTAGTTCCAATTCAAATACCTTATCTAAATTGCTGCACATTAGCTTCTTTTAGTTGGAAAAAAAATGTTCTGAAAGTGATTTCAGTGATATCCTTTCTTTGTCTTTATTGTTATGGTTGTCGCATGGATTCTAATTCTCACAGAATTAGAAAGATTGTATAGTTGTAGTTATTATCCTTGGTATGAACGGCCCCTGAGACAGAAAGACCAGAATATCACAAGAGACTCAGTACGCTCTTAAAAATAAAGGTTCTTTATTGGCATTGATGGTCCCATGAAGAACCTTTAACATTCATGTAAGCTTTCCGCTAAACAAAAGGTTCTTAAAATGTTCTTCACACTAAGAAAATGTTTTTTTTAAGAACTGTTCACTTAAATGTTCTTTTTGGAACCAAAATTGTTCTTCTGTGGCATCACTGCAAAAAAAACCCTTTTGGAACCTTTACTTTTACGAGTGAAGTGTCAGTATGCAACCACCTAGCAAGCACTAAGACCACCCACTATATAGCAAACTAGATACTACATAGCAAAGTTGTGGCAAACAACCACCCATAATACCCTAACATGTTGCATAATACAGCATGTTTTGCATGGTTAAGCACCACTCATATTTTATTCAGAAAATGTAAAAGAATGACAAGATGCATGTGTATGCCTTTGAGACAATCAGGTGTACAGGGATGTGAGACTGTTAGAGAGAACAGTGAACTGGAACTAGATGAGACTGTTGTATCACTTCCTGGACTGAACAGCAAATATGCACATTTACAAAAAGACACAAAGACTCAGTCTCCCTCATCAGTTGGCACATTTGACATTCTCTATAGCAGGTGTATTTGACAACATGCTGTGCTGTGACGTCTATGCAGGTCAGTCCAAACAGAATCTTATATGCATATATATATATATATATATATATA